CAATCACAGAATCACGGAATGTTTGGGGTTGGAAGGGATCTCTGTGGATCATCCAGTCCAACCCCCCTGCCGAAGCAGGGTCACCCAGAGGAGGCTGCACAGGACCTTGTCCAGGCGGTTCTTGAATATCTCCAGAGAAGGAGACTCCACAGCCTCCCTGGGCAGCCTGTTCCAAGTTTCATATTTTGTATGCGTATGTTTCTATACTTCTGTATATATATTTATACATTGTTATATAATTTTCAGTCAAATGAGAAAAAAGATTATTTGAAATACTTGAAATATTTAAATGCTACTTGAACTACATCTTCTCTCTCAGACATATTTTAATCATCTATAGCCTAAATTCTGATTCTTTTGGAGCTCTTCTGTGTTGATTGTTGGAATTTCATTTGTTAAAGATGAAGTGGCTTCTGCTTTGCTGGTCATATCTAATCATAGTTAGGCACCACAGATACATTTCTTAACTTTAAAATCCTTGACTTAAGATTCTTTTCAATAGTTTTTAAAATCAAATATCAATTAAGTAGTTGACACACTTCTTTGTCCTGCAAGGGCTTTAGAAAAATGGGCAATTTTATAATGCCACAGTAAAAATCTGTTAAACTTAATTACATATACAAAATATCAGTTTTAACAACTGGAATGAAGCAAGTCCATTGATCTTGGGACTACAATGTTACAGAGTTTTTTCTTTTATAGTTATTGATCCTGTCTGTTGCTTCAGTTGCCGCAAACTGAAACACTCAGAATACATCTTAAGGGATAAAAGGTAACAGTGATGAGCTCAATACATAGCATTTTTATTTTTGCAGAAATAAATATTAGCTACAACACTTTCCAAATAGTACGTGTTTCTCACCTCCCAATAATGAACTGTGGTGGCTGGTATTTTCAGTTCTTCTCTGATGATACTGCTTCTTCTGAGGACTGGGACGCCATCTGTTTACCCTGAGAGCGGTCTTTTTCTAAAGTGCTGGGCTCTGGCATAAATATTCTCTCAGTGAAGTCAGTGAGAAGACTTTCATTCATTTCCAGTCCTCCTTGTTTTGAAAATGCAGCTTCTTAATGTACCTTTTATACTAGTTGTTCTCTGGGTTTGTTTTTTTTTTCTTTGAAGGCTACACAAATTTTTGCAGATAAAAACAAAAAGATGGGATGACTGGAGTTAATGTCTTTTACAAATATACTTTTACTTAGTATTTTATTACTATGATCATAACTACAGGTAGATGTAAAGGAGTGAAGTCTGTAGGAAAACGTGAAGATGGTAACATTAGTGGCTTAGAAATGGGTCAAAGTCAGAACTGCAAATCCCCATTTTTAGGGATTTTCAGTGCTAAGAATAATTATCAAAACCCCAATTTAACAACCAAAGAATTGTTTAGAAGGTAATTGAGGCAATGGTGAACTACTAAAAGAAAAACATAGTTCAGTGTATGGATCAAATAGCATTTGAAACACGTTCAGAGTAGCTTTGCTTGTTTCTTTTCTAAGCAGATTATGAGTAAGTAGTAAAATAACATATGAACATTTGGCAGTACGTCCCTTACAAATCTCTGTACTAATACTGATTTCTTGAGGATACAAAACTGTGTGTCTCATTGCATGAGGTTAAAAAAGGAGTTTGTCCTGCAGTTCTTTTTCAATTCAAGGTTTTCTTGATTTCACTGTGAGTTTTTCTTGTGTTGAAATTCTGGTTAATCTGTCTTCGAAGGCAAATGCACAGATGCTGGCACTTTGAAAAGTTGTTATGTTAAAAAAAGAAATGTGAAAAATTAGTAAAAAGGGCCACAGTCCCTTAGCATAAGAAAAGAAACTGAGAACCTGTATGTGCTCTTATCTTCAGGGCTGTGTTTACTGAAGGGTGAAAGTCCATATTACAATGAGCTGCTGATCTCCTTCCAAACATCGCTGGGGTGTGTTAAGAACAGGCCCAACTAGAAAGAACAGGGTTTTTTTAAAATTTTTTTTTATTTTCCAGATTGAAAGAAATGAGTAGGATTTATAATTGCAATTGGCTGGAAGTGCCATGGGGAGATGCAGATTTAGGTATTGTATGATACTTTGTAATTTTTTTTTTTTAACTTCGCCTGTTAATACAGTGAATATATTTATTCTTTCTTGTTAGTGCTTACAAAGCAATGTAGGCTGCCCTGGTAAACTATACACCACAGAACTTGGAACTAATGTGGCTTCTAAATATAGTTAGAGATATTTTGTATTCAGCATCTGTCAGAGACGCCATCAGTAGGGAATTAATGCATTAACAGTTTTGGGATAGACTATGTTTGCTAATACTTCTGTTACAGACAACAGTGAATGACAAAACATCCTCATTTATATTCTTGTTAATGTTTTCTAAGTGAGACACACAGCAAGTTTGTAGATTAGCAGAAGGAAACAATCTAGACAAAGAATATATTTTAAGACCTCCTTGATGTTTATTTATGATACATGTTTATTTTGAACATACTCTTGTCCCTGTGGTGTTCAATGCTGAATTACTATGTTTATTGATAAGTCAGTTGGAATGTGAAAGCTTTTTTCCAAACTTGGTTTGCACAAAATATTTCTGCAGCATTTTGCTTATAGAATTTATTTCTAATGGAGATGACACAAGCATTGTGTATTTAATGGATTTAGCAGGAACTGCTAGCTGTTGGATGTCTCTGCATGAAGACAGGGCTGTGAGGGGGGCTAGGTGCAAAACAGAGCTCACAGCGGGATCTGGCATCACTTGATTCCCAATGTCACTTGAGTAATGACATTAACAGACATTCTTCTGAGCAACCCAGCAGGGAAGGAGGTGAAGGAAAGAAAGGTGGGAAAAAAAATGTTGTTTTCAGATCCTACCTGCATATTTTTCTGTTTAGAGTTATACATGGCTACAAAACTGCCCAAAGTGTGAGTGTATTTAATGGGTATAAAAACTTCACGATGCTTACATTTTTATTAGGTGTTTTTCTATGTAATAGTTAAGTGTCTTTCTTTTTCCCCTGTTAATTTAGGAGTAGGATAAACTTTAAAGAGAGAAAAGTTCTCATCACTAGAGACGGGGGACAACATTTCAAAAGCAGCCTCTAAATACAGTTTTAAATTATTTTTGAGGAATTCTTTGCATCTGCCAGCAGGAGAGCTTAATGGATCTAATTCATTTGAGTTAAAACAACTTGAGTGCTGGTTCGGATACTACTGCAGAAGAAGGAGAACGTTGGTCAAAATTCTCATAGTGATTGCACACATTCAAAATACAATAGGATAAATATATCTGAGATTATTGCGATGACTGAGAAAATACTGATGTTTTGTCAAAACCAAGTTGCTTTAAGATTTCTGAGTTGAGTTTTTGTAGCATAATACCCCTTAAAATCCCAGTCACTTTGTGTATGGCTTTTTTTCAGCTGTTATTCTGGCTAGCAATAATTAAAAAATATTACATTTCATAAACCTGAAGCTAAAAGTTTAGGGAACAGTGTGTGTGCATGTACATATGCGTGCACACAGGTGATCAGAGCTTAGTGCAGATAATTCTGAAAGAGTATTGGAAGCTGGATCTTACCTATGGTCCACCTACTCCTACAGATGACAGAGTACAAGGAGCTTCACAGATGCAGATGTTTTTAACTATGCCCTGATTTCTTTTCAGGCTGAGCAGTCTTAATCTTTTTGGTCAGTCTTCGTGTGATTTGAGGAGGTTGTTTATTGTAACCAAAAGCATGCATTCCGAGACAGACTAGTGGCCAGAAGGGATCCAGCAGGGAACAGAAACAGCATCTACTTCTACCACATAGTGACCTTAGAGCTTAGACTGATGATTGCCAGTGATTGAGCAATAGCCTGCTCCTTTAAAATTCATTGCCTTGTCACTAAAAGGCAGTAACTGGCTTTGTGGGCAGCCCTAGCCCATTGCAACGGACAAAGTCAAACACGTTTACACATTGGAGATTTCATCTGCCGTGGTTACCAGTTTGTCAGACTTAGCTAATTCACTCTACCTTTCTCCAGGGATTTTGGGGGGCTTCATATAACTCACACGAGTGATTGTATTAGCATATTACAGTTCCGGTGATTTTCTTCTTACAGGAATAAATATTGGTAATTCATAGTATATTTTGAAGATGGTTTTTCCTTGCACAATCTCTCAAAACTTGATTTGTGAAATTCATACAATAACTTGGTATCAGCTGTGCCTGCAACCCTGCCTGGCTAGCAGAGACCTGTCAGTGGCCAGGCTTCTAGAGGAACGGGCAGGTTCTTCGTCAGGAGCCACGGGATGACGCTGGGAGTTGAGGGGGTTATGTGTGTGAAGGCGGCGTTGTTGTTGGGTTTCTTTGCGTTTGTCCTTTCTTTCTTGGGGGTGATAAATAAACGAAAATAAATGCCAAGTCTTTACATTTAAGCATATCTATTTTTAGCTCTAATAGCATACTAGAATGAGAATTTAGACTTAATATCATATTTCTGCTACAGCAATTTTTTTTAGTGTGATTCTCACTGTATTTCTTTCCTTGCACTAGTGTAGTAACTGCAGATCAATCTCATCAGACGTAAGGATTTCCATATTGATTTTCATATACATCATCTTTTTCAGGCAGGTTTATGTCTGATTTAAGTTCAAATATCAATTTGTTGAAGTCTATACATTTCTATATGCCAGCTGCAAAAATAAGTTATATGCTGTTTTTTTAAAAAAAGGCAAAAATAGAAGTGAGAAATATGGCATTTGATGAATTTATGATATCAGATTACTGAAATCAATGTATCAATATGTTGTTCTCTATACCACATAATAATTTATTATAGATGTTGACAGTTAATGATAGAGCAGTTCTTATTGTCTAGAAACTGATAATTTGACATACAGTCTCTAAAACGGAAAAATTAATTTCATGGGGCGGTTGACTTCATTCTGTGCGTTATATTTTCTGTTTTGCTCTATGCATTCCAAAATCCTTCTGATTCATACAGTTTACTCAATGAATGTTGTTATTATATAGGTTCTTGGGCAGATCGCTCACCTCTGCATGAGGCAGCCAGTCAAGGACGTCTTCTTTCTCTAAAGACTTTATTGTCACAGGTGAAGGCTGTGTTCTTAAAATCGCTTTCATTTTTAACATTACTTAATTGCTCAGCATACAGTATTAATGCAGTTTTAGTATGCTTTGCTTTGCTTTTTTTCACTTGAAATTTTCAGACCAATACACATCTAGGAATTTTTAATATGATAAGATATAAGGTAATATTTAAAATATTTCCTCTGTATGTTTTAAAACTTCCCCTCAAAAAAAAAAATCTTTACCAAAGCTGTATCTAAATGTACATTACTCTTCCCCTCTTGCATGGTAGAAGTTGATATAGTTCCAGTGCTTTAAGCCCTCAGGTAAATAGAGTTAGCCAGGAAGATACTTGCTGAGGGGAAGAATCACTGAAAGATTGTGGGTTTTGCATAGCTGTGATTTTAAAAAAAATGTATTTTGTTACTAGTAAAGGGAAAGACTGTAAACCACTAAATTTTAATATTGCAGTATTGTCATATTAGCTACTACAAATCTGAAAAACTATGCTGTAAAATAGATTTGCTGAAAGACAATACATGCAATTATTAGTTCTTAAGAATCAAACAACTTCTACTGCAGAAAGTTTCAAGAGCTTGATGATTTTGTCAGTCTAAGAAGTGTTTTCCTTTCTAAAATTTGTGGCTTTAGATATTTCAGACGTGAAGTCAGAGAATCATAGAATCATGGGACAGTTTAGACTCAGGGCCTTACTGAGTTTGAAAGATCACGAGGAGTGGAGATGCCCCAACCTCTCTGGACCGCTGTTCCAGGGTTTCGCTGTCCCCACAGTGAAATATTTTTCCATATAATTAATTGGAATTCACCATGTTCCGACTTGTGTCTGTTGCCTGTTGTCCTGTCACTGCGCATCTCAAAGTCTGTTTCCACCTTCTTTTTACCCTCTATATCCTATTCCTATTTCTGATTTAAAAAAAAAGAAAAGCTGACAACTCGCTTTTATTCTGTTATATACATTGATTGATTGAAAGATTCTTTTGATGCTTGCCTAAGATTTATTTACTGCAAGTAGAGTTTTAAGCATAGAGTATTGTAAACTATTTATTTGAGCAGTAGTGTGAGCAAATGACTCAGCTTTTGTATGATTGTTACATCTCGTTCGTGTCTTATTTAGGGGTACAATGTAGACACACTAACAATTGACCAAGTAACTCCACTTCATGAAGCCTGCCTGGGAGATCATGTAGGATGTGCAAGAATCCTACTTGAAGCAGGAGCAAATGTAAGGGTTTTTCTTTTGTATATGAAGTCCAATGCTAACGTTGGTTTACTGAGAAGGATATATTCCTTCATTTTTTTTTTAATTGGTATTTCTCTCTGCTCTCCCTGTTGACTGTGTTGATCTCATTTAATTATGATAAGCTGCCATCTGAAAGCTAGCAGAGGAAAGTGATGGGTCAAAGAAACATCAGTATAGAGATGTTAGGTTAAAAGAAAAAAAAAAACAACAACCAAACCACATAATTATATGTGTAAGAGTAGATGTCAAACAGTCGAACACCATCAGGGAAAATAGATGGGAGATGGGCAGACACTGAGACAGAGAAATGAACTGGAGAGAATCTGCTAGCAGTATGCTGCCAGCCATATTTCTTCTCTGAATTTCATTACGTTATTTCTCTTCTAAAATGCGGAATGCGCCCCTCTACTGGTTTCCTCTTGCTTTGGGTGGCTTACAAGAGACTGTTCTTTTAATCTCCAGAATATCTTTTGTCATGCTACACCTTTGTGCTCTGAAGATTTTTTGATCTGAGTACAAAAAAGCACCGGCTCTTTTCTGTACTGCTAACACAGGCTGTCTGTCTGTTACCCCAAAACTAAAATGGGACTTCACAGACCACTTTCACTACAATCTCTGCTGACATCCGAGTTCAAATGCACCACAAAGAGCAGAGATTTGGGAAACTATGGAAATATTTATTATACTTACTGTTCAGTTTTGAGAACTGTGTCGAATATGTCTGTGTAATAGAGGAAAAAAAATGCATAGATGTTTTCCAAAAACAGTTCCTCTCCACTTCAGCTAGCACAAGGATTTTAAAGATAAAAAATATCGATACTATAGACAAAACTAGAAGAAGTAATTTCATTTTCCTATCTGAATTTTTTTAGTACTTTTAATTGTTTTGGTGGGTTTGGGGGGTGCACGGAAGAGGATGGGCCAGAGTCCTGGAAGGAGCCCTCTCCTAATGCCTGTGCTCCTTCTGTGAGTATCGTTAGCCCTCACAAATTTTCTTGGTTTCTCTCCTCAATCTGTCACACTGGGAATATTCAGTTAACCAGTGAGGTGGCCAGGTTGGTATTAAAACAGCGAGCCTGTATATTAGCTTTTTCTCCATCCTGTGAAATATCACTCCAACCTGGAGATGAAAACCACAGATGAAAACAGCAAATAATTCTCACATTTACTATGGAGTTTGCGTTCTTGACAGAGCCATGGGGAGAAGGTCCCCATTATCCCGTTACTACAGAAAGCGTAGATTTTCTGTGTCAGTGAAACAAGCTAAGTGCAATGACTTTTGAAAATTATTTACTGCCCAGAGGTTAATGGGTGCTCTTTAGTATTCCAGGTTGGTTTATTCAACACAGTTTAACAAGAGTAATAGTAAACCAATTTCAGTTGAGGGGTGTGGTGAGAGGAAGACAGTAGCCCAAGGGCTGATCAGTTAAGCTACCTTGTTCTAACGAGTAAATTGTTAGTATTTTAATGCAGTTTCTAACTATATCCTGTTTAAAAAATTAACTTTCTTTCAATTCCATTCTGAAGTAGATTTCATATATTCTAGGTAAACGCTACAACAATTGATGGAGTGACCCCTTTATTTAATGCATGTTCAAGAGGCAGTGCGGCATGTGCTGAGCTCCTGTTAGAGTACGGTGCCAAAGCCCAGTGGGAGTCCTGCCTTCCATCGCCAACTCATGAAGCAGCCAGCAGAGCTGAGGGTTCAATAATAGTGTCAAGAAAGGTGTCCAGTTTCGTCTACGAGACAGCTTCGTGAGGTCAAGCAAACTCTCTCGTGCTTTGTACTGGCAGGTCACAGTGAGTGCCTGGAGGTGCTGATATCCTGGGGTATAGATGTTGACCAAGATCTTCCTCATTTAGGAACACCTCTGTATGTAGCATGTGTTTCACAGCAGATCCATTGTATTCGAAAGCTTCTTTATGCAGGTATGTTGTGATTTAAATAAAAATATCACCAGTTTGTAAAATAAACGTACTGCACTCGCCTTTGTAGTGAGCTGTGCTCAATCAGTGAAACCAGAACCCTTGCTTGCAGGGCTCTACTTCGAAGTTTGTTCTGTGATGCGTGTTTTCTTGTCGTAACTTACCACATCTTTCATTTTTTGTGGCATAGCAAGCATATGAGGGGAAAAAGGAAAATAGACCAGTAAGAATGGATGTTCAAAGTTTTTAATACCTGCTACAGCTTTGTAAATGTTCATTTTCTGTAGGAAAAACAAAGGTATAAAATGAGCTTTGAGAATGGAATTTTATACAGTAGTCACTGAGGTTTCAACACAACATTTTAGCAGTGTAGTCGCACCCTTTTTATTTCTTCAGCATGTCCTGACTGATCTTTTTACAAGGCTGAGTTGCAGAGCGAAGAGGTAAGGTAAAAGGCATTTGATCCTAAATTTCACATCATTTATTTAATCAACGAAAGAGAGATGTTGGAGGCTCATTCTGTTTCAGCGCAAGTCCAGAGGCACAATGGGCCATAGCTAAAGGATCAGTTGCTGTGTTTCAGGTAATGACAAACAGGGCTTTCGCGTCCTGCAGCAGAATGAATGAAAATGTGTATATGAATAATTACAGACTTGCCATCATTGCACCAGAATTGCTTTTCTAGTTAATTGCAGATTATTTAGCACTTAAGCAAGCAGCTAAATTGTTTCTCATTAAGTCAGTCTCTATGTATGATTAATTACCCCATGTCATGATTTTTGTGTTTAAAAACCGCAGAAGTAGAAGTGACATATTTTGGGACTCAAATACTACCCATACACTAAAAACAGTAGCAGAAGGGCATATTCTACATTCCTTGGTGCCCTGAAGTAGGAAAGGGTATGTAAATTGAGAATAGAAGTAACTACGTGTGTCAGCTTGATTTTTTTCATATTTTGTCCATTTATGAGAATGTATTAGAAGTTAAAAAGCAAATAAGCAATGAAATAGGCAAGAGAATGATACTGTGGAGGTACTCTCACATTGCTAATACTGAGAACAGTGAGTTTTTCAGACCTCAAATCTAATTACTAGGCCTGTGATATTATTACATGATTTTACTGAAATGGGAAGTAAAAAGGCAGAAATTGTTGATTCAGGGAGAAAAGTTGGTACAAAAGCCAATTTTTGGTCTCATAAGATCAGTAAAGCTCTCTTAAGAAGTCTGGGGTTTTCTTCTGCTAGAATAGTCTAGAAAACTGTTGGGGCAAACCCAGTTTTAGGAGGACTAACATCTTGCCTGTAAGGGAAATTCTGCCATACTAGCTGGTTTTGTTTAACTCTTGTATGGATATTTTTTTCTTGAATATGAATACACTATTGCAAATTAATTTATTCCATTTGATTTAAAAATAAATTAGCAATTCTTTATTGATACGAAAGTGTAATAATTAGAATTCTATGGACTGGGAGAATTAATGGTTTGGGTTTTTTTTTTCCCTATTAGCTTTCTTGACTGTGTACCCCACTTGAATTAAAATTAAGTCCTTTATAGAAAAATCCTTCATAAAGGTTGGATGGGATGGAATCTTGTTTCAAACCCTTTTCCAGCTTCAACACATGAAAAACTATACAGCGTCCAACTTACATTCCTTCCTGTGTTGGTGTACTTACAAAAATATAAATACTAAACTTCAGTTTAGTGATTCTTTTTAAAGATTTAAATAAGGAAAGTATATTTTTATGTAGTGATGATTTTCTTAAACATGTACAAAATGTACTTTTTTATAATTAGGGCAACAATGATGCTCACGTGACCTAATTTGATTTTTCTTTTCCTTCTTTTTATAAAGTATTTTCCTTTAATATCTAGTTGTACTTAGGTAATAGGATAAACGTATGGGTTCAAAGAAAACCACTGATAGTGCTATGCAGTAAAATTAATAAAGTGGCGAAATTCACTGTGGCATTCTAGGACAGTGGGGATTTTTGTTTTGCAACATCATCTTTACTTAATGACAGTTTTAATTAATCTCTTCTTACATCTCTTTATGTGCATCTGTCTACCCACCAGGTGCCAACGTGCAGAAGGGAAAGCATTTGGAAACTCCACTCCATGCTGCTGCCCAGCATTCTAGTACAGAGATTGTAAATTTACTCCTTGAGTTTGGGGCAGACATAAATGCCAAAAATACAGATTTTGAGAGGCCTGTTGATTTAGCTGCTCCGAGCAGTTTAGTGGAGAGACTGCTGCTCCTCCATGAAGGTAAGTTTTACATGTGTGTTTTGGCAACTTGTAACTTGTATTCTTAAAAAAAAAACAACAACCCACCCCCCCAGAAAAACTGCAACAGCCGAAACAACCCGTGTTATAGAACCTAGCATTGTGCTTTACAAAACGCATATATTGACATTCAGATAAATTCTTTTCTAACCATAAAAATACCCAGTAATATTTAGTCTCAGGCCAGAGCCTGTTGACTGAGCAGCATCAGAATTCACACAAGCTGAAAAAGTATAATCTTGTGTTTATTGGGTGTTTACACAATTAGACATTAAAGCTACCTTTTTACTGGCTGTTACAGAGCTTGTTAAAAAGAAACAGAATATTTCCATTTTGGATTAAAAATATATTTAGTTTTGGCCAGCTGTCCCAATATTTTTAAGAATATATTTTTAAGTGTATATAAAGTGTTTTATTTTGATTGTAGGCAAAAAGTATACTAAGTTCCATTTTCTCTGTTTTCTTTACTGAATTATAAGTGCCTGAGAAATAGGAGTCGACACGTAAGCGTCCCTTAAAGCTCTTAAAGGTCCGTTGCCTTAGAGAGGGAGAGAATATCCCCAAGGGGACTGGGTTTGTTCAGACTGACCGATGTTCAGCGTAAAAATAAGCCACAAGACAAAGGCGGGAAATCAGCAGAGAAACTATTGCAATAACCGCGGGCATCTCTTCAGAAGTGAACTGGCAAGTAGCATTGATTGCTGCTTTCCTCCAGAAAACACCTCTGCAGTCAGTTAAAAAAAACCCTCTAAAAACAGTGGGTTATGACAAAATTACCAAGGCTAGTAGGATTTTTAAAAGCCGCTGCAAAGATGTAAAAAAAAAAAAAAAGAGTAATGGAGTGAAACGTCTGTGGTTTTATTGCCCAGAGGAACACAGGAGTCTTTGTTTCGAGGGAGTGGGGGGCGCAGAGGGAGGAAGGCGCTACCAGGAGGTAGTCAGACCACTAACCACGGCCCACGATCCCGGGGTGATTTGCTTGCTGATTCTTGGTGCAGTGTTGTGTTGGCAGTGCGCCTTGTAGCGCCGTAGCATGTGTTTCACCTGTTCTATGAATAAAAAAAAAAACACTGCTGCTTTTAAAGTTGACATCAGATATTTTCTTGGAGCAGGTTTTTAATTTTAAACCACAAATTATTTGCTGGCTTGACTTTGCTTTTCTGAGTGTTTCCTTTATTATTAATATGGTTTCAGCAGCCTAAGTCTTTATCTTTGTGGGGAAAAAGGCAAGGAAGGAAAAGGAGGGAAGGAAAAGGACAAATCTGCAAAATGTGAACTTTTTTTTTTAGAAATTGCATTACAACAAGACTGTTGTAAAACAAAGCACTGGCTGTTATAGTTGTATAATCAAAGTCCTTTCTTTTTTGTTCGCAGCCACGCCGTCTTCTCTTTGTCAGCTCTGCCGACTACGTATCCGAAGTTACATAGGAAGAGCTAGACTGCATCTTGTCCCACAACTTCAGCTGCCAACAATACTGAAGAATTTCTTACAGTATAGATAACATAGTAGTTAACCTTTAGAAACTTGAATAACAAGTACTTTTTCTTCTTTCTCTTTATCGTACGTTTTATCTAAAGAACTGCTGGGCGGAAAAAAAGCCTTTTGCGTATTACTTAAAAAAAAAAAAAATATATATATATCTCTCTTTGACACCCGCTGTTGGTATATAATCATAATTGGGAGCCATTCAGCAACTGGTACCAAGGTGCTAATAAGGCTGAATTGAATAAGTGTGCTGATACTCTGGGAAATGATTGTGTAGCTTTAGCCTAACACTTACTAAATAGCTTTAGTGCTGGTAATTTTAGTTATACTTTTAAAATCTGTTTGACACACCTGAACCACAAGGAGTTTCTTCATTATTATTTGTTAAGTTTGTCCATTTCAAGTCATTATTTTATGTGTTTTTAAATTTCTATTGTTTGTGTACCTAAAAATACTTGTTGATAGGTGCACTGTATACACTGATAAAAATAAAACAAATAGATGACAATTATTATTCTTTTTCTTTACCTAGACAATTCATTCGTGACAGTGAGAAACTTCCTTTATTCTTTGTCACTGTCTGTGCTGTGAATTGGAGTTATGCTGCTGTGAACATAATCACAATTTTTTCAGCCACGCACAGTTTATAGATTCGCTGTTTATTAGTACAGTTAGTAACTTTAAAAATTCCAGAGGAATATTCCTCAAAAGCCTTAATGCTGAGATACTTTAAATCTCTTCTTGTAAAACAGAATTACCTGGGCTCTTTCCTGATCTTTTCATAGCTATGCTCTGTCACAACTCATGGGCATATTAAATAATTATTTGCCTCAGGAAAAGGCATATATTATTTTATAGTATCTGTGAGGTTTCTGAAGGTGTGTGGTGGAGGTGTGGATGCTAAATCTTCAACCTCAAGTTCCGGAGGTGGATGCAAGGCCCCAGAAATATATCAGTTCCCTGTATCAGGACAGGTATCTCTCTGAAAAGGACATTCTTTCTCTTGCCGCCTAGTTTATAAACAATTACCCAGCTCCAAAAAATCACGTTGCAGAATCCCAGAATGCTCTAGCAGGCATTTCTGTGATCAGGCTGAAATGTTATTGTTCAGCTCTCTAGCCAGAGCAG